CATCATAATTCTAGATCTGTCATTAACCTCATTTGCAATAAAGATATTATAAAAACCCAATTTTATTTACCACACCCGATTCAACTCTGCAGGCAACTTGGTCTCTAAAAGAAATAAAATACCAATATTTTGCTGATTTCTAAGAGTTACAGTATCATAAAATCTACCCGGGCCTCGAAGGCTCCTCACATTCCATGCAACAACAGACAGTGCTTAGCAAGGGGGGTCTTACCTTCTGTGGAAATTGGGACACGATGAGCCTTAAGAGAAATCTCCTTCTTGCTACCAATAACTGCTGCTGATCCCTTCATTTGAGACTGAGTTAACAATTGATTCACCCCCTCCCCAGATATTTGATCTTGCAAATGCTTGGTAGGGCCTTTCACCTTAGTAGTTCCGTCCAACTTTTGCATTCCAAGCTTTAATTCAACTAAGGACATTGAATCCTTATTCTGCTGAATGGCACCTTCATCACCCATGACTGTACCCGTGCCACACCTGTCATCCAAAGAGACGACATCACCTGCAACCTCAACATATTGGATATCTCCATGTACCTTTTCATGCACACAACTGCGCACAACAGAGAGGGAGACATCTGTAGATGCGAGTTCACCCTCAACATTAGAAGGCAGCATCTCAAGAGACTTCCCACCTTTATCATTTTCAGTTGGCTCAGCGGCTTCCAAGATCTCAATCTGCGAGTCACACAAAGCAACACCCTCTATTTGCTCTATATGCAAGCCAATAGCATTTGTGAGAGCCTCATCAAGACACGTCATATCTGATGTCACACCATTCAGCAGCCCATCACATTTCAGCAGGCCCGAGTGATCCCCTGTAGCCCCCAACTCTGAAACATTCACAACATTTGCATCTTTTTCATCAGCTAAGACCTGAAATGTATCAGGAACAGTCGCAACTTCCTTCTTTTTATAAATCATTTATGTTCTACGCTTGAAGACTTTCCATCTTCCTCTCCCGAGGGTAACACAATAACTGCTCCACCGTCATTTCTCGCCTTTCTTTCAGCACCTTTGACCTTTGAATCTCTCATAACAAAAGAAGTCTGGCATAAATCTGACATGTGGCCAGTTCTATTACATCTCGAACAAGTGGTTGGTATAAACTCGTATACAATCTTTTGGTAATACTCCTTACCCAGGATATCAAACCACACCTTTGTTAAACATGGGCTGTCCAAATCCATTGCGACACAGATCCTTAACTCTGCCAGCTATCACATTTTTATAGGTTTGTCCATAAAGATGGGCTTTCCTACACTTACGCAATATGAAAAAGAATCCCCGCCTCCCAGAAGATGAGAGGAAGATTTGGTAATTTGATCCACACTGGAACAATCTATCAAGTGCTTCTAGAAGGTTGGACTGATGGGTACCACTCTTGAAGAACCAAGCACTTTTTGCTTGCAAACCAAGGGCCATAAGAACCCATCACCAAGAGAAAAAATTTCAAGATCATTTTTCAGCCTCCACATCCTCTGTAACATCCCTTTCATATACATCCATTCAGGTCAGCGACCCAGGAAGTAACCCAGAAGACAGTTCTCCCACTGTTCAATTCTCACATAACATTTGCCAGTAATTGTTTCTGTTGGAGTAACATCCATACTGTCGAAGTAATGAACACCATATTGCCCATGTTCGGCCATCATTTATTGAAGATCTCTCAAGTGCTGATGTCCTAATCAAGTCAAGGATTTCCCAATCATATAAAAGGTCTCTACTAAAGAAAGCATTGTGGTTTTGGAGGGCCCTAGATCTATTGCATAACGCAACTTATCAATTTCAGTTCCTATAACTCAAGCAAATAGACCTTAAAGAGATTTCATTGGATTCTTTCAGTATTAGGAATGTCCTCAGCTTTAAAGTTTACCTCTCCAAAATAAACTTAAGAAAAATACTAGTTACGACATAGATTAACAGTAAAGAGAACAAATATTTCATAGTTTCATGCAGACATTATACATAAGGAAAATAAATCATCATCATCATCATCATCATCATAGTCTTTTCTCAATTAATTGGGGTCAGCTTCAGGAATCCTAGTCTGCCATTCTACTCTATTAAGGGTCATACCCTCAATGAGGCCATAAGTCCCCATATATTTTCAGACTGCTTCCAACCACATCTTTTACCATTGCACTTATCGAGCCTTCCCCTTAAACTAACTCACACCTCCTAATAGGTATTGTACTGGGTCTGCACCACACATGGCAGTCCACTTAAAATTACTCTCTCTCATCTTATCCTATTGGTGCTATACCTAAATTTTCCCGTATGTATTCATTTCGAATTCTATCCCTTCTTGTTTTGCCACTTATCCATTTCAACATCTTCATCTCCACTATACTCATTCTATGGGTATATATTTTTTTGTCTGCACAACATTCCACCCTATAGAACAAAGTTGGTCTCACAGCTATCCTACAGAACTTGCCCTTTAGCTTCATTGATATGTGGTGATCACATAAAATTCTGGTTGCACATCTCCACTTCACCCACCCAGCTCTAATTTTGTGTGTGACATCTTCATCAATCTCTTCATTTTCCTAGATTATCGATCCAAGATATCGAAAGTGCAGTCTTTTTGGTACTTCATAGCCGTCAATCTTAACTACTTCCTCATTTCTACTCCTATTATTATTAAACTTGCATTCCATATACTCTGTCTTAGTCCGGCTAATTTTAAAACCTTCAAATTCTATAGCATCCCTCCAAAGTTCCAACTTTGTGTTGACACCGTTTCGGGTCTCATCGATCAAAACCTATGTCATTCGCAAATAACATGCACCACAATACCTCATCTTGTAGGTTCCTAGCTAAGTCATCTATAACTAAGACAAAGAGGTACGGGCTTAATGTTGGCCCACAATGTAGACCTATTGGCACCAGTGTTTTAAAATACGGCCGCATCATGCATGATGCGCTCACATCCGCATCAGAAACAGGCGCAAATGCGCCTTTGACAGATGAAGCTGCATATGCGCAACATCAGGCCGCATCGTAGCCGCATCCCGCATAGGCTGCATCGCACCGCATCCACTGCTACAGTGTCCGCAGAATTTTTTTCCTATTTTGCCCCTCTGGAAGGGGCAAAATGGTCTTTTGACCATCCAAATGTTAGGGAAACTGTTTGTGGGGGGGTATTAGGGGCCCTAAACGAAGATTTTCAGCCACTTTTGTGGGTTTTTTTGCATCAAATCGCGGTAAAAAAAAATTTAGGTGGAATTTGTTTTTTATCGAAATCTTCGATTTGGCGGTTGTTTGATACTTGGATGGTCATTTGATGCCTTTGATTGTTGATTTGGAGATGTTAGGGTGAATTTGTGATAAAAAATCGGGGGTTTCAGAGGTCGTAAAGAAATCGAGCAGTATTTCACAGAGTCAGTAAATTTTTTTTTCTTCTTGTACAATATTACGATTATACATATTTTTGGGGCAATGTCTTGTTCCCAATCTTCTAGTAATAAGGATCTGGCTTAGAAATATACTAAACTAAAAAATCCTAAATATAGAAATTGTGTAATATGCTTGCTCCGTGGAAATACTTATATAGGTGGATAACTGGATACAAATCTCCAACAGCTAATAGTTTTGAAGTTAATCATTAAACTAAAATACCTACTATCACATATATCACCTTCATATTTTTTTCTATGCATTAACTTATTTTTAAAAAAAATTTAGAATTTTTTTACATTTATTGACCGCATCATAGCGATGTACCCGCATCCTAGCCGCATCGCCGCATTGGCCCCCCACCGCATCATGGCCGCATCCCGCATTTTAAAACACTGATTGGTACCGAAAACTCCCTCGTCTCTCCACTAGTTGTTCGTACACTAGTTAGCACTATATCGTACATATCTCTCATCAAGTCGATATGCTGTTTAGAGACCCCTTTCTTTTCCAACACTCACCAGTCAAATCTCTATCATAAGCTTTCTCTAGATCAATAAAGACCATGTGAAGGTCTTTTATCTTCGCCCTAAACTTCTCAATCAGTTTCCTAAGTAGGAATATAACCTCAATTGTTGACCTACCTAGCATAAAACCAAGTTGATTTTCAAATACACACATTTTATACCTTAGTCGTTGCAACATCACTCTCTCCCAAAGCTTCATAATTTAGCTCATAAGCTTGACCCCTTGATAGTTTGCACAATTCTATATGCCTCCTTTGTTCTTGTAAATAAGTACTACAATACTTTTCCTCCATTCGTCTGTCATTTTCTTTGTTCTCAACACCTTGTTGAATAGCTGGTCAGCCAGTCAATGCCAATCTCCCCCCCCCCACTTCCAAACCTCTATCGGGATATCATCTAGTCTTAAAGCTTTTCTGTCTTCATTTTTTTCAAAGCTTCTTTCACTGTTGATATCTTAATCCTACGAATGTATCTATGACCTCCGTCCTCATTTATATCAAGGGTTCCTTCTACCGCTATGTTCCTATTGTGTTCTTCGTGTAATAATTTTTTAAAATAAATTCTACACCTTTCCATGACCTCTTCATCCTTCATCCAGACACTTTGATGATTACTCTTAATGCATTTAATATGGTCTAGATCCCTACACTTTTTCTATCTCATTTTTGCTAATTTAAAGACATCTTTTTCACCTTCTCTTGTTCACAATTTACTGTATAAATGAGAATCGATAGAGCACATAACTCAAAGTTGTTTCCTTCATAAATTACATAGACTTTGAGACATGCATAATGGCATTACACCAGCATCACTCCAAACCTTAGGAATAATAAACTAAAAAATGTTGCGCCCATGCTCTTAATAAAAGGCTCTCTGCCAATGAAAATAACCCTCATGAAATTTGAAAAGATTAACAAGCATTATACCAATGGAAAGAGATTTATCAAATTATGAGGTACAATGCTTTCAAATCATAAAGCATATACGACAACATCGAATCAGATACATGCGGTCATTCCTATTCAAATACCATTGGCAACAGTGAACTTGCCTGACCAGTTGTCCCTTTTCCAGTTTTAAACTCAAGAGGCACTATGCAGTCTTCACTTCCATGTGTGTTTGAAAGTAATTTAATCCTAATAGAAGCATCAATTACTCCTTTCAGCCCGTATTTTGGGGACCAAGCCATCTCTTCAATATCTATAACCTGCAAATGGATTAACAAGATTTAGTGCGCATCAGAACAAAGCATTCTCCAAACACAAATTGAAAATCACGACAACACCTAGAAAACCATTGAATGCTTCTTGGATAACCCAAAGCATGCTTCCTACCAAGATTCAAAAATAAATAAAAGAAAGCAGTATGATAAGGTAAGTCACCTCAGATATGCCTATCTCTCTCTGTCCATCACTAGATCCAAAATCCACAATAGGCATTACAGATTGCTGTGAAGGCTGTTGACAGAAGAATCATAAAATGTATAAGATATGATTATTAATATTGAGTTACTATTGGCAGTCACGAATTACTCAATATGGATAATCAGTAACTAATTTTCAGACGATAACTAGAACAGGATGCATGATATTTCAAATAGAATTTTGATTTGAGATCTTAAAGGATTTTGCAACAAGGAAAAAAAATAGATGACACTATAATGTACCTCTTATAGCCTTATGATTGTAGAAAAATAGGGCCAGCAAAGGCACTTATTTTAACCAAAATTACATTATTTCCCCTAATATAAAGTTATTCAAAGACAAACCCCCAAGTGAATTGGCAGCATCACCAAAAACCCAACTGCTATTTTTTTTTCTTATGGAATCCCCCATGTGTTTTTACATAGTATTTTAGACAAAAATGGCCTTGCTCTCCCATTTTCTCTCTCTATACCCTATCTCTCTCATAATCTCCCATTTTCTCTTGCTACCCTCTCTAAACCTTAATTTCAGCACCAAACTTGATGGAAAATCACTGGAGAATCCATGGCCAATCCTCTTTCTTGTCTCTTTCTCCCTCATGTCTCTCTCTCTCTTTCTGGAATCAAGATTTTTTGGCAAAACAAGCTGAAGGGAGATCCCAACTTCAATCTTGTTTGCTTTTCAAACAATGCAAGCTCTTGCCTTTTCAAATCTGAAAATTTGAAGGCACGCGACATGACAAAACCTCCAAGGGACTTTATATTAGGGGGGCCCATCTTCATTAACATGGAGCAATGCATCTTCAAAGTAAGAGAGGAAACACAGCCGCCTATGGGATTTTCCACCAGCTCATCGCACCTAAAAATATTGATTCAAGAAAGAGAAAGGAGAGAGAAAGAGAGAAGAAAGAGGATTAGCTGGGGATTTTCCTATGACTTTGGTGCCAGAATTAGGGCTTAGAGAGTATAGAGAGAGAAAAAGGGAGAATGCAAGGGAGGGGATTTTTGTCTAAAACCACTTCGGAGTATACACAAGAAAAAGAGTAGCAGTATGGTTTGGTGATGCCACCAATTCATTAGGGAGTTCGTTGCGGTAACTTTGTATTAGGGTGAGCTAAGTCTTCACATTAATCACATTCATGTTTTGGTGGTTGAAAACAACCATAAAATCATCTAGAAATTAGATTCACTATTGTGGGCATTTTGTAAGTTTTTATTCAAGTGTTCAAATGAGACTATTTTGTGCTATGTCTTTCTCCTTGCATTGCTAGCTTAATGTCTAAAATGTTATTCATAACCATGAGGTAAGTTTCATGACCGAGGAATTTCATTGTCATTGGAAAAAAGGATGAAGTTATGTTGTTGTTAGAAGTCCATGAGGGTTGACATAATAAGGTTTTATTAGGCTTAGGATTAGAATGAGTCATTAATTAGAAGAGGTCTATTGTTATTAGAGTTAGGATGAAGGGTGTAGCTAGAATCCTACTAGGATTGAGATAAAGTTTAAGCTATATAAATAGGTGGTGGTGGGTGATAGGAGGTATGGGTTATGAGACGAGAAATAATTGGTGTGAGATTAAGATGGGCCAGTAGAGAGGTAGAAAGGGTGCTCTACCTGCGAAGTCTAGTCTGGCTGATTTTCTCTCTCTGATAATCCCCAACAATGGTGTCTGCCTGACCTCACCACTGGACCCTGCTCTCTGCGAAAAACTACTACTGGACCTTTGTTTCGAGCTTGGCAAGCGATGAAGTCGTTCACAGTCCCTCTTCAACCTTTTGATGAATTCCTTGTATGGATTCACTCTTCGGACATATCGTTTTCTATTAAGAGCACTTGGAACTATATTAGAGACAAGTACCCCACCAAAGAGATCTTCAAAAATTTATGGGCTTCTCATTCCCATCCTCGAGCCAAATGGTTCACTTGGATTGCCCTTTATCTTCGCCTCCCTACATCTGAACTACTACAGTCCAAAGGGATCCATCTAGCACATTGTTGCCCCTTGTGCTTGAATGAAGGTGATTTTGTTAACCATATTATTTTGTTATGTACTTTCTCGCAGGTTCTCTGGCAGTCTATTATGTGGCAATGTGGCAAAACCCTATAGGCCCATCGATACCTTCAATATTTGAGAGCTGGGTCAAATTCTGGTTCCGATCAATAGGATTACGTAATGTTTGGATCTCTCTAATCTCCACAACCATCTGGCTCCTCTGAACTGAGAGGAATTTGTGTATCTTTGAAGGAAAGAGACCCAAAAGAGAATAATTGTTGCACCAGATCATTTCTATTGTTGTGAGCTTAGCAAAGGTGAAAAGTGGACTTTCCATCCGTCAGAGAATCCTATAGTTGACAACCTAAAAATCAAGTGGCATCCTAAAATTTTGATTTTGGCCTCATGGCCTCCACCCCCAGCAGGTCTCTATAAACTGAATATTGATGGCTCGTCCCTTGGCAACCTTGGCGCAGCTGGCTGTGGAGGAATTATCAGAAACGACATGGGAGGGTTTTGTGCCACTTTTGTTGTTCCTCTAGGGCACACATCCAACAATGTCGCTAAATTTTCAGCACTTGAAAGGTGAATTCAGCTAGCTATTGAGTAGCATTGCTTTCCACTACTCATTGAGAGTGATTCGCAGATTCTAGTGCATTCCCGTCACGACCGCCATAAGCCCCCTTGGAATCTTCGTATTATGACAGCAAACTGCCTTTACCACCTGGATGGCCGCCCCTGGAGTATTAAGCATGTCTACTGAGAGGCCACCTCGGTGGCCGATAACTTGGCCAAGAATGCTACAAGTCTCTCTGAGGCCACGGCTTGGCGTGCCTGGCCACCTGATTTTATTTCTCCTCTAATTTCTTCTGATATGGCCAAGACCTCTCATAAAAGAACTATACCATAAACTCTTTATCATTTTGTACCATTCTTACTTATTAATGAAAAATGGGTACCGGCCCAAATCCCCACTAACTTACCCAAAAAAAAAAAAAAGAGGTAGAAAAGGTATTGGGCTAGAGAGAGCAATGTGGGGTCTTAAGATAGAATCGAGAAGGGAGGTCATGACCGCGTAGAGAGAGAAAAAAGGGGAATGAGTGGAAGAGACCATCGAGCCTTGAAGAGAAGAAACTAAGAAAGAAAGGAGGCCATCGTGTCATGTAGTGAGAGAGAGAGAGAGATTTGTAGAAAGAGAAAGTTGTAGAGAGAGAAAGAAAGCCCACTGAGGCTAAAGAAACATTGAAATAAAATGTTCTCTTTTCTACCCCAATTTTATTCATGTGAACACATCAAGCCCATCAATAAATAAAGCTTTCACACATACTTTCAACATCATATTAAAACCAGCTTCTTAAGATTAGTGACTTAATGATTAGAGGTTTGTTCTTCCTTCGGATCTTCAATTCTCTTTGTAGTTGATTTTTTACTGCCAAAAAAAATAAAAGGAGAAAAAAAACAAAAAGAGGAGAGAAGAAATAGTACCATGTCAACATCAAGTGGCATCCTTCCCCAAGTTTTGACTGCAAAGAATTATGGGGATTAGAAAGTATGGTTGAGAAGCTATTTGATAGGGCAAGGTTTATGGAATGTAGTATATGGGACTGAACCAACACCAACTGCTCATGATAACATGTGCCATGGAAGAAACAGAATGGCAAGGCGAGGCCTCACACATAATTCAGATCTCATGTGGGCTACATATATTCTCTCATGTGCTGAATGTAGAAATAGTAAAAGAAGCCTAGGATCGGTTAGCCACTGTTCATGACAGGCGAGTGGTGCTAGAAAGGTATTATTGGAAGCAGAATTACAGGCATGTAAGCAAGGGCAAGGCTTCATTGTAGAATTTTTTTAGAAAGTGAAGGATCTCTATGATCAATTAAGAAGGAATGGGCATTAAGAGCTTTGAAAATTTAAGTACCGAGTTTGATGTAATGAGGGTGATGATTCAAAAATCCAAGCCAACCATAGAAGAAAATATAAGCCTATTGCTTCAAAAGGAACAACTAATTGAAAAGAGAAAATCGGAGTCAAACAATTATCCCAAGATAGTAGAGGACAGGAATGAGACCTTGTTTAGTAATTCCCGTGCGAGATCCGAAGTAGACAAGGATATCGTGTTTTGGAAGGCCCTAAAATAATAAAGAATCCCAACCACAATCTCAAAATAATGAGCAAGATGGGTCTCATAAAGCTCTTAATCAAAGAAATTTTCCTACTACTCTTATGGGAAAGTTGGACATTATGCAAAAGATTGTTGGCATAACAAAGGAAATTATGCTGCCAGGTGGAAAAGAAATTTATAAGGAGAAATTTTTTTGAGAAAAGTTAACCGTATTCCATTAAAAGAGTTTATACAGAAGTTTATGAGAACAAATTGAAGAGGCACTATGTGTCCATGATGGGCATGAGAGCAAAGATCAATGGTAAATTGACTCAGCATGTTCAAATCATATGACCCCAAGAAGCTATCTCTCACCACCAATGGGCCCTTGTCTCACGTGTCAGGAATCTTGACAGGGGCTAATACTACTCTAGAAGTTGAAGGCAAATGAAATATTATGCTACAAGGACCCAATGGAAATATCAAGCATTTTCACAATGTCCTAAATGTTCCAAGACTTACGAAAAAAACTTATATTTGTGAGACAATTGCTATATCAAGGCTCTCATGTTACTTTTTGTCAAAGAGGCTATGAAAGATAGGAGAATTTTCATCCATGAAAAAAGAATTTGGTCGTTTATTTATTATGAGCACGGATTTGCCATCAATTAATAAGAGTTCCCCCATTCATATTGCCGACTTGCGGTAAAAGAGAATCGGACATTGCAAATCTCCCTAGGTAAAAGATATGGCAGGGCAAAAGCTAGTTACCGAGTTGCCTATGATTCAATTTTATGGGAATCAGATTTGTGAAGCATATGCATGTACAAAGGCTACAAAGCATCTATACACCCAATAATCCACGACAACAAGTCCGATTGAATCTCACAAGCTCATGAAGTACCATGTCACTTTCATCGATGATTATTCCGGGAACACATGGATTTATTTTTTATGAAACAAATCTGAAGTACTGGGGTACTCAAAAGAATTTAAAGTGCTTGAGAATGAATTCAATGCAAGAATCAAGAAATTTAGGATAGATGATGGTGGAGATATTGCCTCAAAGTAGTTTGATGATTTCTTGAAGAAATAATGGATTAGGAGGCTATTGATGCATGCCGGGCATCTCAATAAAATACGATCATTGAGGGGAAGAATAGGCACATCGTGGAAGCTGCTGGTGCAATGATGAATGAATAGAACATGAATGGGGCCGAAGAAATGCGCATTGCAGTATACTTGATCAATCTCATGCCCACTTAGAGATGGAATAAAGGTGTCATATCAACTACTCTACAAGAAGAAACCAAATATCACACATTTGTGTGTTTTCGGATGTATAGTTGTCGTGAAGTGCAGTGATGAGGATCACGATAAACTTGACGACAACACCATAAAGTGTATCTGTCTTGGGTATTCATTGGAAAGAAAAGCATATTGATGCATAGATCCAGTAACCCACTGCACCTTTATGAAAGCAGAGATGTGACGTTCAATGAACAGGCACAATAGCATCAAGCCGCACAAGAAGTTGAAGACAATAAATCTTCACTACCCAATGAAGATCCAACGTCCCTCTTGAAGCCGGCTATTTCCACACCATCAGAGGAGAAGGAAATTACTCCCTTAAGCTCCCAAACTCAAGAACATATCAAGTGATATCTGGAAAGGCACATATATCCAGTTAAAGGGCTTGATGACTATTATGTTTACAATGTGTATTATGCATACATGATGCAGGTCACAAATAAACATGAACCAAAATGTTTTAGAGAAGTAGCAAGCAATCCAAAGTGGCAACATACTATGGAAGAAGAGATGAGTACACTTTGCAAAAATCAAACATGGGATTTGATTCCTCTTCCTGATACTAAGAAAGCAATCGGTTGCAAGTTGATTTACAAAATAAAGCGTAAATTCAGTGGTGAAATTGAGTGTTATAAGGAACAAATGGAGGCTAAAGTGCTTTCTCAAACTTAAGGGGAAGACTAGGAAGAGATATTTAGCCCAGTTTTGAATATCTCAAGTATTCATGAGAAAGCGTTTATCGAGAAAGTTGATCCAATGTACAATCCAAGCAAAGAACAAGTACCTAATGTCTTCACCAAAGCTCTGAAGCAAGACAAGTTCAAAATTTTCAAGAGAGCACTAAGAATGTCCAACTTAGCAATGAAGGGGGGTGTTATAAATTAATATTGCTAAGTCCCATTAGGAGTAAGAGTCCATTATCACTGGAAAGAGGATGAAGTTCTCTTGTTGTTAGAAGTCCATGAGGGTCCACGTAAATAAAATTCTATTACGCTTAGGATCAGAATTAGTCAACAATTAGTAGAGGTCTATTTCTATTAGAGTTAGGATGAAGGGAGTACCTAGAATCCTACTAGGATTGGGATAAAAGTTTAATATATATAAATAGGTGAAGGTGGGTCATGGGCGGTATGAGTTGTGAGATGAGAAATAATTGACATGAGGTTAAGATCGGTTGGTAGAGAGGCAGAAAGGGTATTGGGCCAGAGAGAGACACGTGGGTTTCAAGATAGAAAAGAGAAGGGAAGCCATTGTACCTCGAAGAGAGAGAAAAAAGGGGCTTGCTTGAGAGAGGCCACCGAGACATAGAGATAATAAAATTAGAAAGAAAGGAGGCCGCTGTGCCACGTAGTTAGAGAGAGAAATTTGTAGAAAGTTAACTTGTAGAAAGAAAGAAAGAGTGTTAACCAGATCATCAAGGCCAAAGAAATATTGAAACAAAAAGTTCTCTTTCCGTCCCCATTTTGTTCGTGTGTGTGCATATCAAGCCCATCAACAAATTAAAGCTTCTGTGCATACTTCAACAGCAAGAAGACCCTTCCCATATGTTAGAAATATGCATTAAAATGATATTACATGGAAAGAGGAGTGCACTGAGTTAGGGGAGAAGTATAGCAGTGCCCCAGCATGGCAAACTAGTAGAGTTCCTTTTGAGACATCATGAAGTGAACAAAGGATGATGGCAAGTGATCAGTTTAGCATGTTCGAGGTTCTAGATTGAATTTAAATGGACCACCATGTAAAAGTCTTTTTCTCATACGCTAGAGAGTGTTTATGTTCAAAATTGTATTTTGCATCCTTCATATAAAGGTCATCAACCTTTGCAATCTCTGCTTGAGTCGCAGTCATTGGAGGGGGCGAAATTGTATTGGGGAATTATTTGCAGGTGTAAGATTGGGGATCATTTAAGAAATATCAGAATAACTCGTGCATCTTCGAATTACATATCTTTGATTTTGTCGTTGCATATTTATGGAGAAAGAGAAAGAAATGGTAGCCAGGCTGTGTACCCAAGGGTTTCTTTCTTCATGAAACTAGTAAAATAAAAAGGTGGAAAGCAGGTAGTAGCATGAAAAAAGACGATGGACGTGAAGTCCCAGGGACAAATATCACCTCAAGCACCATTATCACACCATGGGATCCATAGTGGATATGCTATCTGGACAATGCTGATAAATAGATTTCTACACAAATGGATGTGAAGGTGGTTATCCTTTTCTAGACAAGTTTGGGAGGACATCAAAGGAGGCTGACATCAAACAACGAATGATGATGATCTTCAATCCCACATTTCAGGTGCTTGATAGGAATGACCAATGCAATTTATGCTAATTATTTATAAACAACAGTATTAATGTAAATTATCAAATGCCTAATGGAAAGCATGAAGTGAGCTACCGAAGTCACCATACACAAGCATAACTAAAGATACGAAGAAATATTAGAGACTGTAAATTACAGAAAAGAAATTCCTCAAGGGAAATAACCATGAAAATTACAGTTGAACTACTAAAATGAGTGAAAAAACTTAGGAACTTATGGTCAAAATACTTGCAGAAATTACCTTTAAACTCCTAAAATGAATGAACCAATTCAACATCCTCGGAATTGCCTCCATCAATTTTGCACGCATTTCATTCTCATTAGCTGCATTAAAATAGGGTTATTATATTCGAAGAGAAGGTGTGAACTCATACCAGGAATGTGTAGGGTTCAACAAACAAATATGCTTCAAAACAACTAAAAATGCATTAAGGAACCAAAAATTACTTGCAATTCAAGATTTACTGCTTGACAATAGATAAAACAAGAAGCTAGAGCAACACACGTTGGATCCACTATTACAGATACAATTATATTTCATGCTTAATGGATACGTGCGCACACAGACACAGTGATAGTACATATCATGAATATATATTATGGGGAAGACGGTTGATTTCCATTCCTTTGTCTTCTTAGATGTTTCGATTCACTAAGTTTTCAAAGTTAAAAGGGACTAGCCAAGGAGCTCGGATATTATTTCCAGATTGGAGATCCATGGATCACAGATAGTATCTCCACATGGCCTTTCGCCTCTTCCTTCTCAATGCCAGAGCATCCATCCAATGAATTGGGTACACTAAACACCAACATAATCTCAATGCAAGCAACCTCTTCTTCAACATATTGTTTAATTCCCTGCAGCTATCAAAATTATCTTCCCTTTGCTCATAAGTTTCACATAAGCTGCACAACTCCACCTGAATGTCCTAGATCTCCACATATACCAACTCTATCCAGACACCACCTAAGAACTAGCTCATATCATCAGTCTCCCTAATCTTGTAAACCTAAAATATGTCTCAATTGCATTCCTTGTGGCATGAGCACAATTTGCTGCATCACCTACTTATACTCGTGAATGCCACTCCACCATGCATCCTATCCGTACAATAAGATGATCCTGCACAATATGGCATGGGGTTCAAGTCCAATCCACCATGCATCCTATCCGAACCATGTAGCTTCAATAGATTTCACTCCAAATTGAGTCAAGCAACGGCCATAACATTTGTGGCATCAACCCATGCCACTACTCTAGGATGACTCCGTCCAATGCCCATACCAGTGTGACACTCAACCACTTCTCCTCTACCTCCCTGTCCACTTAAAGCCCGTCAATCATTCAATAAAATCCCATGCTGAAACTTATTACCCTTGTTGGGGTCTGTGGCCTTTAAAGCCCGTGAGACTATGTAAATATCACAAATATGGTAAATTGTGCATTTCAGTGGGAGTGTATGTTGCTCGACTAACCCAGGGTTAGGCGATCTATGGACCGGGCTATTATCCAAAACCCTTTTCCCCTAGGTATAAGCACTATCATTGTGGGTTTCAGGAAGGTCAATCCTTGTTGAGACGGGAGTGATGCCCAAGGATGATTTGAATGCCTCCCAATGAACTACTTCCTACCTCAATGGAAGAATATTCTCCTACACAGACCAAAGAGAAAGAAATATCCATCACCTGGAAACCTCCCCCCAAAGGAGCTATCAACCTAAATTTCGATGGATGCTCTTTGGGCAATCCAGGCTATGCAGGGATGGGAAGAGTCTTTCGAGATCATCAACACAATGTCCTTTTCACCTTTTCCGAATACTTAGGTGTGCAAGATTCACAGCATGCTGAATCTCTCGCGCTCCTCAAAGGCCTGCAAAGTTTCGATAGATCTTGGGGACAACATCTGATAGTGGAGGGAGATGCCCAAAACATCATCACCTGGGCCTCCAAGCAAGCTCCCACTCCATGGTATCTTATGCCTTTGTATGACAAGATTGAACTTATATGCCGGGATACGCCCATCTCATGGATGCATATCTTGAGGACGTCAAACGCCTTCGTAGACCTCCTGGCGAAGGACGGAGCCAAAGCCCATGACGAAGACTAGCCTCACAACACCTCTCTTGCATCGTGTGGGCCACACGCAGTTTAGCATAACTTTTGCTCTCTCTGTAAATTTATAACACACCTTGTAAGGGGATTTATTTATAACCCGATCTTTGTATATTTTGTAAAGGGGCGAACCTCTAGCCCCATTTTGTATAGGGCCTGAGGGCCTTTTCTTTTTGGCTGAGAGTCCCGTCCTCCAGGGTGTACTATCTCAGCATTGTAACTCCTCTTTTATGGTAATACATTGTCAACATTTCAAAAAAAAAAAAGGATGGTTTGAATGCCAAAAGAGCTTCGTGGTCTCCTGTGTGTGGTTGTAGGCCTGTGAGAGCAAGAGCTAGGGGCCAAAATCCTCAACAAATTTTAGCACAACATGTGCATATGACAGTCGTACTCTAAGAAGTACATGTGCATAGAGAAAGTCCCCCTTGTACTATAGTGATATGGGCATGTGACTTGCTCTTAAGGAGGAACCTATAATCCACATATTAGAAAAATGGTTCTACCATTTATTGGCCAATTTTGACGAGCCAATCATAGCCCTACACATGACTGTAGGTCATGGGTTCCATTGAGTTTTTTTGAGAAGCTAGTTGTGGATCACGATTTCTGACATAGATAGAGTGCCCTGACAGACACTTTTCTTGACCCATTGATAGCAATCCACTTTTAATGCTATTAATGAGTGTCTACAAATTTTTAAGACCTTCGGAAATAATGTTTTCAATTTTATTTATGTTCATGTGATTTTTGGATATTTTTTCAAAAGTTTTAAAAATTGTTTTTATGCACTAAAACTCTAAAAAGGGCAGTCCCAATATTTTGCAGATTTGTGGAGCCATTGTGGGATCCACGTAGGGGGCCAAGGGCCTAGCCCAACACATGAGGGGACCCACAAGAAGTGGGACATGCAGCCCACATGGGCCACATGCCCCACATAGGTGAGTTGCCCCACTTCTTTCTAGTTTATTATGGACTCCTATTGGGGGTTGGGGTTTGGAGGTTCGGGGTGGAGGAATTTCCCACTTGTTTTAAGATATTCTTTAAGATCTTGAAAGATATAGTACGTTGAAAAATATATTATTGTGACTTTAAATATTGACCAAGACTTTTTTACAATAAAAGATGAGATTTGAGTGGCCTTATCCTAATTCAACTAGAAATAGATATGGATCAAAGATTCAGGGGAAAAAGTTTCTAGATTCCTTCCTAAATCATGATAGTTGATTTCAGGAATGGATGGCTCTAGTTGGTTTTTCTCACCTCATAGATTATCAGGAAATATTTTGGTCAAACTGAATCCTAATCTAAGTGGAATACCCTAGGACCGTTAAGGCCTATATAAGGAGGTGTCCTCCCCTCATTCTCTTCACCCATGTTTTTTATACTCCCCTCTCTCTCTCTCTCTCCT